ATAATTATAGAGCTTCGACACGGACAGATCGACTTAAGTGTGATACCACAAGTTTACGAACTCCGATGTTACTTGACGCAATCTCGCATGACATCATGATAATGATAAATTAAGTACAATATCTAATTAGTCCTTTTTGATCGTAAGTTAGACGGTATCTCCACTCGCAATAGTGTAGTCGCAATACTACTTGCACAAAAGTGAAATTCAAAAAGAGAAGAGGAAGAACCTCTTGATTGATTTTAAAAGTACAGTACTGTAAATTCACAGACTACAGAATAGTTCGAATACGTCACAAGCTAATCAGTAGATAATAAATCTTATTTTTATGAATGTTAGTTTGCACGAAATATATAACCGGGCACGTTTATGATTACCGGTATAAATTTAGAAAAAAATATGATGAATATTTTAGTGGCAGATCAAGGGGAAGGGGCGGGTCTAGGATATAATTTATGGGGGGTGGGCGGCTAAGATTCCCGACTGGGGGTGCTAAGTATTTATGGGTGTAAGGCCCGAGCAGGGGGTGGGTAGGGAAGGGGTGTTCCCTCCTCCCAAAACGAGATTTATTTTTTTAAATTGGGACTTCTAGATGTTCTGCTTGACTGATCAGGCTCAGACGAAGCGATTGCGAGACAGATTTGGCTTGGAGTAGGCAGTACAGTGCAGTACTGGGATAGGAAAACTAGGCCTATTTTTTTTGGTCCGAGTGCCCGACGAGCTTTGGCCGATAGTGGGGACTTGACCAGACCAATGGGGGATTAAGCCCCCCCCCCATTCGAAAACTTCGAAGAAAAAAAATTAGGCTAGGCTTATGCTGTCACGGTTAACGTATATTCGGGAATCTAAGAAGCAATATTTTTCAGTGGGCCTGGCCACGGAAAATAAATTCCATTCCCCCTTATACACATCTAGATGTGTATAAGAGACAGTTTTAATACTGCTAGATACGCCATTGCTTACCTTGGAGGCATTGGCATTCATTTGGAAAAAGTGATCGCGATTAATTCGTCATATTGTAGCTGAACAAGAATAAGTTTTGGTTTTAAAATAGCCTACCGGTATTTGTTTCCTTTGTGGTGAATGTCGAAATCAATTTTCCTTCTTTGTTTAGTATGAATTAACATATTCTATAGATTTGCCACACACATGGAGACTATCATAATTAAATACGTAGAGTCATGATTAGCAAACTGATGAACGCCGTAAATACAAAAAAAAAAATTATCTGTAAAAAGTGAGTTATTTCCCTGTGATGGTTTATGTTCTGATTCGAAAAATATTAATTTCCAATAACGAACACAGTGACATTCTAATATTGGTTGCACAACTATAACTATTAAGATAATTACTTATTTCACATTTAGCCTAGAGTGCCAGTGACACCGAGTTACCTATTTATTTGTAAGTGTTCTTGTAAAATTCAATAGCAATATTTACTTAAGAAGATACATATTACCAAGTAATCAATCTATATTATGCGATTCGACAAGATCATATCATGGCTTGCGATATCGGAAACCAGAATTTTGCTGCACGGAGCCCCTGACGTCATCCAGAAATTAGATATAACTTGAGCGAGTCTTGAATGCCAGTGACGTGGCGTTCTGTTGATTTTGTGAGACTGATTAACCCATCAATACTGAGAAGCAGCATTTTAATAATTAAAGAAGCTATATTCGATTCTACAAGTTAGACCTATATGATTCGACATAATTGAAAGTTGCCACAAGGAGTTTGTTACGTCATTCTGAAAACTGAAACATCTTGAGTCGGGAATTACGCAAGTGACGTGGAAACTTGAACCACCTGTTTGACTAGTAGGGGATTTAGGGGGAGGGGCGGGCTGGCCCGGGCCCGGGCCCGGCCCCCACCTCTTGGGGGGTAAAAAAAAAGTAAAAAGAAAAAAAGAAAAAGAAAAAAAAATGATAGCCTAGAACGCCTCAAATGTTATTTTCGGGCGTCTAGAACACAAAAAATTCACGGGGCATCCCCCGGACCTCCTAGGGCAGTGTTGTCTCGATCGGCCCAACTTTCGGCTCCCCCGGTTTCGGCCCCCTTTTGGACATTTCTGGATCCACCCCTGACTATAGTAAGTGTATGGGATGACAAAATCGTACTGTCTACTTAAGAAGCCACATATTATTATAGAAAGATACTGGATCCATTATACATGTCCATAAGATAGGCCCGTTTTATCATAATTTGAGATACCGTAAACGAAACACCTCAAAATGATTGATGCGATAACCATAGTGTATTGGAATGTATAGCCTATGCAAACGAAAAAGTGGTGGGCTAGTTTCCCTTCACAGTGGGATTGGCATAGAC